ACGCAACAGTACATTTGACTGGTCATAAAACGAAATCGAATGACCCTTTTCAGTAGCATTTGATTTCGCGCGAAATAGAATAGCGTAGTGGTTAAATTGGCTGCTCATTTGCCGAAATTGACCGAGAAAACCTATAATAATAATAATAAACAGTGCTCATCAAGCGCATTTTACACAAAGTCCCAATGCGCTAAACAATACAAAACAATATTAATACCATGAGCCCAACACCTATTGTTATTGTTAGAATATACTATTTCTTTTTTTATTCTTCAAGATACATTCTTTTCCAGAACTGTTTATCAACATGAAAAGTGATATGAACTTCAATTGTCAATACATGAATGCATAACCCACTGAAGGCGTATTTTTTTGTAGTTACGTCATCATGACGTTATCATGGGTCAGGTGACATTACTTCAAAAAATAATAAATTTAATCTTTGAAATTAAATATGAAATCAACCGTGAGAGACCAGAACTTGAATTTTGCGGGAATCGACATGATAATACATGCTCTTCATTTTTTCTCGTGCGCGTCAAATCAGGTGACCATTCCTTCCAGTTGAAGCCGAGAGTACCTAATAATTTAAAAGTGGAAATAGATATGAACTTGCTTTTAGTGTCTGGCTGGGTTGGCCTTTCCAAAAAATGATCGGTGACGCCATGAAGTGTTCGAGCGTCCTCTAGCAGCACGTTAAAAAATGTCCAAAACGCAATGTAAGTTGATGTCTGTGGCGAAATTTGCGGTAATCGCTTCAAAATTAATATACATGATGGCCTTAATGCAGACAAGACCTGTGCGCGAAAAAAAAATGATTACGTCATCAGACCGGAAGTTAAAATGAAAAGACTTTTTTTCCTTTGAAAATTCCTGAAAAATCAACCCTGAGAGATTTAATCTCGATTTGTGCTTTAAATGGCACTTTAGTAATAGGTCTAAAACTTCCGCAGATTTCGTTTCAATAAGAAACCTTGGATTTGCCCTGCAGCCCCCTCGAAATTTGAAGTTGACCACGCCTACGTCTTATGATGTTCATTGAATGCAACGTACATTGTACCGTGTATTGTACATGCATGGTACATGTATTGCGTGTGCACAGAAATGGGGATGATTTCGTACAACAGGGAACCCCCTCCAAACAGCGTGCTCTCCTACTGAGTGTCTGGTTTTACGACTGTTTTATGTTTACTATTGAGCCGCATGTAACGGCTGTTTGATGGACCTATGTATTATTGGGTGTTAACCAATGTTTTGTACACGTATACGGAAGCAATTTTTTTTTACTTCTGATGACGTCTTTATGAAACTCAACAGTTTGGCTCGCAAAAGCGCCCAATTGAGCGGTTTTTTTTCCTTTAATTAAGCGCTTTTTCTAAAAACATGTGCATTGGGGTAAAGCAGATATGGCGAGCAATATTTTGTAATGCGCCAATGGTGAGCGACCTTTACCTTTAGAGATTTCAGCTATTTATTTTTTTGTAACGATTGTGCCTACTAAGTTTACACTACAGCAGCATACCCGTGCAGAACCTCACCTGACTCTTTTTAATGACCCTGTGTATAATTCTTGCACGCGCTATTTTTCAACCCTCAACCCTCAACATCAACATCAACATCAACAATCAGCAAGCAACATCAACATCAACAATCAACAATCAACAATCAACAATTAACAAACAACATCAACCATCAACATCAATTATCATTAATCAACATCACCAATCAACAATTATTATTATTATTATTATTATTAAATGGTTTATTTAAAAACATCATATCGCAGCCTCGCGGCCGAATTGCACAATGTTTTACATGATTTATAAATATTGTTAAAAGACAATGCTTACATACAAATAAGAAACACGAAACTATGACACATAACAGTAAAAAAAACACCAGCAATCAACATAAAAAAACAACATCACAATCAACATCAACAATCAACATCAACTAATCAACAATCAACATCAACAATCAACATCAACAATCGAAAATCAACATCAACAATCAACATCAATTACCAACATCAACAATAAACAATAAACAATCAAGAATCATCAGCAACATTAGACATCAACAATCAACATCAAGAATCAACATCGGCATTCAACAACAACAATCAACAATCAACATCAACGATCGACTGCAACGATCAACATCAATAATCAACATCAACAATCAACGATCAATAAATAACAATGCGAACAAGCATTATGTTCTGTTCATTAAACAGATATAGTTCTTGCCATCACAAACATGTGCTAGCCCAACACCGTGTGTTTGTACCACAAACACTAGTTATTAGTATTATTACACTGGCAGTGAAACCCAGCATTCCTCAAAAGTGCCCCAGGCACTGTAGCTCGCAAAACTGAAGAAGCCTGTTCAGAGGAGACAATGAGAAGAAATCACAGTTTAAGAGGTGTGGAAAAAACCCAGAAGAATATTCTGGGGCAAATTCACGGAGTGAGGAAGAGACTGTAAAGTGGTTCTTATCTAAAATTGAGGATTGGAAAGATGACACATGTCCAGACAGGATTCTGACTATTTTACTGCGTATTGTGAACTCCTGCAGTTGCATGTCTGGTTTACATAGCAACAGTCTAAAGAGGGCGCTATACAGTTTTAGTGGTGATGAGTAAACTCGTTTAACCCACACAGGGACTGAAAACCCAGTCCACATGTTGGCCCAGGCGGGGAGGGGGGATATATGCATATCCCAATGCATATAGACTTCAGCCCAATTTACCTACATTTGCACTGTATTTTTCCCAAATGACGTAATACAGGGTGAGTAAAAAAAAAAAAAAAATGTCAGGGCCATTGTTTTAGTGAAGCTCTGCATGCAGCACTTTCAAAATCCAGAATATCAAAGCCCAATTCATAATCTTTCTTTTAGTAGAAGAATCAATCAAATCACAAATGTAATTTTCAAGGAATGTTTAAAACAACCACCGTTTTAAAGTTCTGTCTACGGAACACAAAAAGTAAGTGTTCTTTCCGCAAAACGAAAACAATTACATGAGGATGTGTGTGAATTGTGTTCGTTTTGCAGAAAGAACGCACAGTTAGAAAGAATGTAGTTAGGACTTAGAAGGTTACAGATCCTGTTTTCATCTAGCACATAAAGGGGTACGGGCAACATTAACGATGGTAAACTAGTTTTGATAGAATAAAACTAGAACTCATATCACTTGTGATGAAATAAATTAGGTTATTTTTACAGGCACAGTGTTCGTGGCGTGCCATCAAGTGTGCTTCATCGGATCGGAATTCGACCCACAATCTGGTATCCCACCCCGTTGGTTCTTACCGTACAAAGATCCGTGCGAATGCACAGCTATACGTCTCGGTGGGATGCGCATCCCTGCTTCGTCATACCGCCAGGGGGCGCCCTACTATCTGGATCATCTCATCCTAAGTGAGGTCTCGGAAGAAATACAGACGATCTTCAATTGCTTGGGTAAGGTTAAGACTTCCTCGTCTTAAATCATAATATCTTTACCACATCAATTGACCATGCTATAATATGCGAGGGCCTATAGCAACTCTACACTGACGACGCATGGTAAAGGGCGCCACCAAGAGCCCACAGAAAGCCTATGTGTCTCGCCGTGCACCTTCCGAAAACTCGACCTTCATTTTGTAGACTGTGAAAAAGATGTGTATATTTACTCGGCCACACAAATTTGAATAAAGAATTTTATGAATTTCCTTTTGGGGAGGGTGGATAGGGTTGGACTGGAGGATGCACGGTGACCGAGGGTCTGGTTGTGGTAGGCGGGTTGGACTTCATTTGAAGCTATGGGCGCTTTTTCCCCCTTATTCTTGTCTTTCTTACAGGAATTCGTGGAGGGTACGAACAAAAGCAGTCTCCCCCCTTTTTAGATCTGCCAGTGCTTTCAATTACTCAACATAACGCTTTAAAGGTAGTCCATCATTTGTAATTTGTGCATTTTGTTCGTTTGAAGCAACAAAAGTGCTCAAAATCTAAAGAAGGGTGCTGAACAACTAGCCTGATGAGGTTTCAGCTCAGATTTAGCTGTATATTTCGAGAAAAACAACATTCTAGGATCTCGATTTCAGATCAAAAGTTGCTGAATCATGTTTTGAATTGGGCCTGAATTCAGCGTCCAAGACACGTTCTCACTGAGCCGATTGCAGCTACACGATGTCGCGCACCGATTATATAGCAAGAGGGCGCGCGTGTGCGTCGTGTCAACGCTTGCGCGCGCTTCGCTGAATAAAAAAAACGAACTACTATTCCGCAAATTTCCAACGGTGCTTCTTAAAGACGCATCGTTGGAAAGGCCTTCTTTCGTTGATTTCTTCAAAATGACAGCTTGCCTGAAAGAATAATTTCACAGGGAGTTTAGTCCCCTCACTATCTTTCATCCATTTATGTTTTTTAACAATAATTACGCCAGTTACTTTTGGGATAGCTGCAAATGATGGACTCTGGCTTTAAAAAAAAAAAAAAAAAAATTGTTCATTTATAGAGACATCGTTTTTTTAACATAAACGAAACCCTTAACATAGATCTCAGTGAACCTACTTTTTTATAGATTCAGCAGGTGGATGTTTGAGCCCGGAACCCTTGGGTCTCGAAGACGGCACGATCCCTAATGACCGCATGAAAGCGTCAAGCTACTATAATTACGCCCACAGAGCAGCAATGGGGCGACTGAACAACTCGGACGGTTCCTGGGTGACCACGAGGTGCGTACGTTTAGTGATTGCAAGCTACATCGCGAATGATCTACTGGGAACATAAATAACAGATATTCATACCTCTGAAATTTGTAAATCTATGAGACACCCCTTTTCAGTAAAGAATTTCGCAAGTTGCACTTTATGGGCCCCGTGCGCCAACAAAGAGGGAGCCCTTTTACCTAGCAAAACGTCCCACGGGCGGGACATTTAGCTTGTTGACGCGCACCGTTCCTTGTGAGTGACGCACGTACACCAGGGGATTTGTACTATGTAAACGCAGTGGCATGGCCGCACGTCGCGGCAAAATTGTAGTCAGGCAAGATGACGTCGGTCGGTCACCCCCAACTGTACTTTCTTTGCCGATGAGGGGGTACTTGTGAACTCAGCGGATAGGGCATTTAAAATGTTTCATGACAACTGAGGGCGTTGTTGCTGTGACTCTCATACACTGAAACCACAAGTGAACCACAGACTGAGAGCAGAAAATATTACCACGCCAAAACCCTAAACTCTGGTGACGGTGTATGAGGCTCGATCCGGGGATGCAACTGACCCAGTTTCGCTGTCATTGGGGGAAGACTGTGGGAGAAGAGTCATTTTGTAAATTTCAATAAAATGACCCCAAGTGACCACTAGGTGACCTTTGGCCCCGATCTGACCATACCCCATATGAAGCTTGGGTCATTTGTTATTATGGCTAAGTTTGGTTGAAATTGGCCAAAGCGTTTGGCAGTTAAAGCAATTTAAAGCTCATGGTGAGAAAGAAGATGAAGAAGACGAAGACATAGCGAAGGATAATATATTAGCGCGCTTCGCACGGCTGATATAAAGAAAGAAAGAAACATGACAATCACAGTGTATCAGCGTGCTTCGCACGGATGTTTTAATGATGAACAAAAAAATTACCTTAAATGGCGAGTGGGTGGCATATGCCGATATTGAAGCACCGCTTGATGTCGTATAGATTATAGACGTCATCAATTTATGAATTAATGAGTTAAGTTGAGACTGATTCTCAGTTGAAGCCTTCGCTTTGCTATCGTTGTGGTAGGCCTATACCATACCAAAGCTTTCTATTTATGTTTCACCTGTACCATAGACTGGTTTTCGTTACTAACCTTTTTTGTCAGAACTGTTGTAAACCTCGGTTGACTTTCTTTTTTTTCCTTGCAGCTCCCAAAATTCCTGGATCGAGGTGGACCTGCATGACCCCACTGTGGTGTCTGGTGTCATTACCCAAGGCTCCATATACAGCCATAGATGCGTGACAAAGTACAGGGTGAGATACCAGTCGTCTCATTCCTCGAGCTACGAGCATGTCACAGATCAAGCAGGACAGACCAAGGTATATGCGACGTTCAGTGTTTTTAGAAACATGGCTCACTGCAAACAAGTCATGGAGTGAAATCACAAGTGCATCCAGTCAAATCACAAGTCAATGCAGAAGTCAGGTCACAAGTACAACGATGTTGCCAGAGAAATGTCTTTTTGTCAGGACTCGGTTGAATAGCTTGACAGTGGTTGAATTAGAATGGGCTCCGTGCGCCAACAAAATAGAGCGCGTGTTAACCTTTTTTGAGAGCTCCGTGGACGGGACACACAGCGTGCGCGTGCTGTACTGGTTCGCGCGCGAAGAACGCACGATTTCCTGAATGTGCAAAAGTACAGTGTCTTCGCGTGGGCAACCTCGTGCCCCGTGGGTACGATCTTGCAGCGCCATGTTGTTTCCCATCATGCCTTGCGCGATCGTAAGTGTAAGGAACGAGCACGCGCCCCTGGAGTCGAGGCTGTTGCGTGGGCGTCAGGCCTCGTCGGCGATGGTCTCCGAGACAATTCCCCGCCTCCAATAACTTTGGGTACATTCGAATTGCGTAGGGGATGGATTGGGATCCAGTCTAGGTCACTTCCAACTCTCCTTGTCTGGCCGTTGATGGGGTACTTGTGCACGAAGCCCATACGTTGGACCGGCATATTTAGCAGAGTTCAATGGCATCATTGGTAATAAATACCCCAGCACTCGGTGAAATCGGAGAGTCATCAACCTCGTCCCCAGTGCTTACTATATTTCCAACCTCGTTTCCAATAGTAAGCCCTGGAAAGGAAACTTTCTTCCTGTATCCTGATTTGATACCGCAATTTGCTAGTAATGAATTTCTATCGTGCAGTTGGTGTTGTTATGTGTTTTCACGATCATTGTAATTATAACGTCTGCACCTTCTCAAAAATACTACTTTCCTTTCCAGTTTGCTCATATTAATATGAAATGTGATACTGCATATTTGCGGGCCAGATTGTAACATTTTAACTTAAAAAACAAAATCGTGCTTTCATTTATCATGGCGCGAAGAATTGATGTTGTTTTTACCCCACACACCGCATACAAAACAAACGCTAATGTAACCCACATGCAGGCACCAGACTACTCCTCATTTGCATACGTGTTCAAAAATCTTTTGAATAAATTAAGCCACAGAAAAAAAATTTGGTATCATTGCAAAGCCAATGATTTGCGCTTTAACATACAGTGAAAAGTAAGAGATGGGGGTTATTCCTCATTATGACATGTAACAATATAAAACCTTCGCGAAATGAAGCCAGAATCGTGTTTAATGTTCATATTTGCAAGACCTACTTCTTGTGCCTTCTTTCAGGTGTTCGATGGTAACCAGCAGAACCCACAAGCACCAGTCACCAACCTCTTCAGCCGTAGCATCATGGCGATCACGGTGCGTATCGAGCCCGTAGCTTGGGTTGAGAACGTAGTGTTCCGATTCGAGTTGCTTGGATGTCGCCATCATTAAGAAAACAGTAACATTAAACAAAAGCAAAACACATTTCTTCGAGTTACAGGTCAGTTTGATTTTATTCTCGTTCTTTTGAGGTGAACATCTGCATTTCTACCAAAGCAGATATAGTAGCACGCCCCCAACCCAAAAGGCAGTGTTGTAGTCAAGGTACTTAATGATGAAGTGTCATTTTTTGTTACATTCCTATGGGTATGCCCAAACAGTTTAAAACTGGTTTCCTGCATACACTACAAATGACCACACACATGTACAAATACAATGCATTACAAATACAATACAACACAATGAAATTAAATAAACGCATATGGGATTACTGCATGATTGTAAAGGAACTATTATAAATATTGTAAAACTATTACAAAGAAACATGTTTGAAACGACGTCGCTAGCAGACTTTTCTGAAGGCCTTATGTGAATTCAGTGAACACGAAGAATTTGGACATTTCCTGTGACATCGGGAAAACATATTTCAATACGTACGCTGATTGCAGGAGGGGCGAAAAAAACATAAAAACCCTTTTGGGAGAAAAACGGGGAAGAAAATCCCGTCCGGTTCCTTATTATTACGGCAGCCACGTTTGCTAACTCAGTAAGCACAAATTTATATTTGTATATGCCTAATCAGTGATGGCAGAGACAAAAACAATACATCAATGCAGACATTTTACTGACTGAATGTCTAATACGGGCTCAGATTTGAATGAGGTTAGAGAAGTCATGGTTCTCAACTGTACATACTAATTATTCCATATAAATAAGTGTGATCGCGAGAAAGTTGACAATGCGCTTGTGATTATCTTGGTATGATTGACAAATATATATACGCCCCGCCCACTGCGCACGTGGGCAGCAACGCGTGCGCCTCGCCAATGCCACACTGCGTGATGTTCCAACCTAGCCGCGCACGTCATACGCGCGTGAACGCACGTCGGACATCAATCAAGATTGTGATTGGCCAAGGCACCGTTGGGGCGGGGCTTAATAGATCGGTTAATTGATTTTTACTTGTACTTGTTCACCAGATTATATTAGTCTGTAACGGGAAATTGATGCAGGCGAAATGTGTTTGGCGCTGTAAAGTAGGTGTATACGGATATGTATATAGCAAGTATTGAAATCAATGTGGAATTCCCGCACATTGCACCAAAATGTAATGCACCGTACCTTTTTGTCTAACTTGTGTCAGTTAGTACGCACTACAATAATGACTTTATATACTGCATATAATTTAACGATTTTTTGTTTTCTATTGTGGGATACAGATTTATTCCATAAGACTGAAATATTTACCCTCTTAACTTATTTCGTGTTTCAGTGGAAAGGAGGGTCGAGTGCAAATTAACATAAAAAGATGTAAGTGACCTTTAAGATGACCTGTTTGTTCCCCAAATGCTAGCATATTATTTAAAAAAAAAATAGCATGAGGTGCGACCATCTGGGGATGCATAGGATTATGCAGGCGTTGACCAAACTAATTCCTTGGGTTTCTCAAGCTAATTTACCGCATACATTAGCTTGGGAAACCCCAGGGGCACTACTTAGCCACGATGCTAGCAACATTAGCAATGCTGCAAACCTGGGAAACAGTGTTTGTGTGTGTGTAATTTTAATTAATAATGTTTTAATGGTGTTTTTTATATAAGTGATAACTTTTAATCTTTGTACATTGAACCGCAATTCGGTCTTTTGACCGCGAGAGTTCGATAAAAAAATAAATGAAATGAAATGAAAAAAAAAACAGCAAACGGGGATCAGTCAGAGACGATACGACCGAAATGAAAATCCGGAGGTCGCTGGTTCAAACCCCGCTTAAGTCAATGCGCCGTATTCTTGAACGCATGAGGGCGCTGTCAAGGAAATCTAATTTTAAGTCTGGGGTCGTGAAGCAACGTACGTGGAAGCAATACGTACCTACGGCGTATGCGTGAAGCTAGCAGAGATACTCACCACTCTTTAGTCTTTATGCACTTCGACATTTCACATGACAAGTTAGATTTGAGGCTTTGCATGGTTGGGATACTAAATAATGAAAAGTTTGCGGAAACACCATGTGCGAATAATTTCTCAACTAAGAGAATGGTTCTGAAAAGAACCAGAGGTATAAACTCGACGTTCCGGTCAGTATGCTCTGACCGTCTTCAGGAGAGTGCCTAAATTCTAAGAAAGTGAATACTTAAGTAGCAAAAGGCGAAGTCAATGAAGTGTGAGGTTGCATCCTGTGAGGATGCCAAGTAGACAGGATCCTAGAACAAGCTTAGTGCCCACTGAAGTTGCAGTGTCAGTAGAGGGAGGACCTAGGGTATAGGAGACCCATCAGTCTAAGGTGGTAGCTGAGGACCTAGGGTATAGAATGAATTATTTGCACATGGTGTTTCCGCAAACTTTTCATTATTTATTTCACATGACCCTGCTACTAGCTTCACGCATACACCGTGCGTAAGTGCGTCCACGAACGTTGCTTCACGACCCCCAGACGCAAAATTAGATTTTCTTGACAGCGCCCCCATGCGTTCAAGAATACGGCACTCAAATTTACCACAAAGAATACCACTAAAATTTGATAAATCAGTTTGGTTTTATTCTCGTTCTTTTGTGGTGGTTATTTAAATCACCTGAAATATCTGCACTTCTACCAGAGATAGTAATTCAATCCCAACCCTTCTTAGGCAGTGTTGTAGTCGAGGTACTCAATGATTGACTAATCACAAGTATACATGCAAAAGTGTGGTCGCGAGTAAGTCGGCAACACGGTGATAGTCTTGGTATGACATGTGATTGATAATTGACAAATCTATGTAAGCACCGCCCACTGCGCACGTGGGTAGCAACGCGTTTGCCTCTCCAACGCCACACTGTGATATTCCTGCCTAGCCGTGCCCGGGCCGTGCACGTCATACGCGCGTGAACGCACGTCGGACATCAATCAAGATAAGATTGTGATTGGTCAATACACCGTTTGGGCGGGGCTTAATAGATCGGTCTATTTTTTATTTCTACTTGTACTTGTTCATCAGATTAGATTAGTCTGTAACAGGAAAAGTGGTCCCGGCAAAAGGTGTTGAATGTTGTAAATTAGGTGGATATGGATATGTATATAGCAAGTATTGAAATCAATGTGGAATTCCCGTACATTGCACCAAAATTTATTGCACCGTACATTTTTGTTTAAATTTTGTCAATTAACACGCACTGCAATTATTACTTCATTTACTGCATGTTACTTAACGAATTTTTCGTTTTCTATTGTGGGATACAGATTTATTCCATGGGACTGAAATATTTACCCTGTCTTAACTTATTTCGTGTTTCAGTGGATAAGGAGGGTCGAGTGCAAATTAACATAAAAACTTGTAAGTGACCTTTAAAATGACCTGTTTGTTCCCCAAACGATAGCATATATATATATAAATATTTACGGCGCGACCATCGGGGATGCACAGGATTATGCAGGCATTGACCAAAAAATTCCTTGGGTTTCCCAAGCTAATGTACCGCATACATAAGCTTTGGAAACCCCATGGGCACTACTTAATCACGATGCTAGCAACATTAGCAAGCTGCAAACCTGGGAAACAACAAACGAAACGGGGATCACTCAGAGAGGACACGGCCGAAAGGAAAATCCGGAGGTCACAGGTTCAAACCCCGCTCCAGTCAATTTCTCTGTTCAACTTTCAAAATTGTAATAATGAAGCCAGTCAGTTTCCCTTTGTGGTTATTAAAAAAGCGATAGAACGGTTTCTTCTAGTCACAATTCAAGTTGGATTTATTCTCGTTTCTGTTGTGGGAGTTATTTTAATCACCTTAAATATCTGCGTGCAGTTCAACCAAAGATAGTATCGTTCTTCCCTTCCAAACTCTTTTTGTAGTCGCTTTGTAGTCCGCTTTGAGAGCAGACATGGCTCCCGGTCCGTACATTATTAATACTGATTGTCCGGCAGGAACCAGCAGTCCCTGCGCTAACGGAATTATTGTCTGCATTTGGCTGCCAATAATTCGAAATTATGAAGTTATAATTCAATAACTAAACATGAACCGATTTTTTTTTTCGGAAGATGTCTCATTCAAATGTGAATAACTTTTGCATTGCTTGAAAAGTAGCCATTTAGAAAAGGAGTCTATTTTCGGGAATAAACTCAAATAGGCTCTCGGCATTAGCACCGTCATGGGTAGTTAAGGTTACCCGGCATGTAGGCCTATACGTTTTATGCACGCATTCTTATGGGGAAAATGACTCCAGAGGCTTCTCCAACATTTCGACGAAAAGAATCCAGTTAATAATTGTTCTACTTCAATACCTACTGAGTTCTGACTCGTTCGGTGTATCATATCAACACTAGGCCTGGGCGAGTAGTGGATTTTCCTACTCGAGTACTCGCAGAGAAATTACTCGCGAGTAGTCGAGTACTCGCGTGTATTAAATCGAATTCCCATAAAAACAGGAAAAAAAATGGCATCATATTACTATGACGTTTAATAGGATAAACAGCGTGGAAGACACGTTTTATTTTCCAGCACTGAGATATTCTTCATATAGGCGAAATATCTTAATTGCAATATCTGTATTATTTCGGCCCTCTCGGTGCGTATCGTTTTGTAAATGTTTATTGTATCCACGGTTGTTTAATTATCTAGGCCAACCTTGATTGCTGCTGAGGATTCTGTGTTTATTACCGGAAGCCGCTTTGGTTCGTTCGCGGTGCGGCACCGTTTCATATCGATTCGTGACTGTTTATGGCCGCGATGGGCTTCATTGTTCAATTTCAAGGCGATATTTTGTTAAATTTCAAGATGTTATTTATTTAAACTAGAAATTGTAATTACTGGGGAAAACTGATTGGTTGTTACGTTTCCCGCTTCCAGCATTAGCTCCGCCCATGCTCTAATATTGAACCAATCCGAAAAGTTTGAGCCTTCGTTGCAAGTTCAGGCACGTTCCTGATTGGCTATAGGCTTGCTATGACGTCAGTCTGTTCCGTGGTCTGCGACTTGTAGCTGCTGAGGCGAGGTGCATGTTGGTTTGTGTACTCGGCAATTATACGATCAACCTAACAGATTCTCGATCATTGCGTCAGACACGGTTTCGAGCTACGTACTAAGCGGGCTCGTTTCTGATCGTCGTTCATTGCTCTACATGCGTAGCTGCCTATAGGTTGCGTTGGTGTGATGTGTGTGATCACTGATTACTGCAAACAACAGATTCTCGGTCATACTGCGTCAGACACGGTTTGGAGCTACGGACTAAGTAGGCTCGCTTCTGATCGTAGTTCAGTACTCTACGTGCGTAGCTGCCCACTACGAGGTCGCGTTGGTGCGGTGTGTGAGTCGCTGATACTTAAAGGATTATCGACCATAAATTGCGTAAAACGGACACAATTCGAGGACGGTGTTAATTGGGACTCTTTCCTGATTCACACTGATCTCCAGTTTAAAAATCTTGATAACCCATTGCTCTTTGCGAGCTGTACATACATTTTGAAACTACGCGCCGGTTCCGAATCTCTCATTTCGAATACCGTACGGGAACCAGTGTAACCACTCCCACCGTATGTTTTATAATACAACTTGAAAAAAAAACTACCTGACAAAAATTATCAGCAGAATTCAATATACAAAAAAACTTAAGTCGCAACTCAATTTTTTCTATTTTAAGAATTAATACATTTTTATAAAATAGGCAAATATCGAAGTTAAATGAGGATACATTGTTTACATTGTTATGGGAGTGGATTATGGCGGACGGTGGTTTCAATCTAACAGCTAATGGGCCATCCAGATTTTTAACGAGATCAGTCGATTGTTAATCAGTGATCTGCGTGCGTAGTTGCCTTTTAGTTCGCGTCGGTGTGTGAATCATTGGTAAATACACCCTAGCGGATTCGTACTCA